ATTCGTTTAACCCGTATAGTACCAGGACGAACGATTTTTTTTTTCAACAAACTCGTTCTCAGCAATGCCTTATCCAATTTTCAAAAACTTTGGTTTTTATTCAAGGGGAATAGCTGAACTAACTTTTGTCGTAGGTACCGCACCCTTAGAAGCCTCCTCGTTCTTGGGAGATGCAAATATGGCTGGGAATTTTTGTACTTTTTTAACCAGTTTGACCAAATGTTTTAAATTTTCTGGCGAATCGGTTGTCTGGTGCAGCAAATGATATCAGATAGATGAAATATGATTAATAAGAATAAATTAAGATATTTCCATAACGTATGGCTACGGAATTATCGGTACCCGGAGTCCCGGAAATCGATTCTGTAGGACATAGTAATATCTCAGGCAAACGTATCTTGTGGCATGTCAAATCATGTCAAATAGGTAGAATCAAGTGAATGAAGATGATTTGGGATGATTTTGGCCAGTTTGGCATCGTTTCCGGAACGCGGATCTATGAATTCTGGCAAACGGTTTGTTGGAATATAATTTCATTGAGGTTATGATATCATATTATGCCAAAATGACAAGCTATGATCACTGAAATCAGCTTGTAGTGTATCTGATGACATATGGACACATTGGCATCGGTTCCGGGAAATCCGTGGAATTCGGTTTTATACCTCAGAGTTACATTCGCGGTATAATAATCATGTTACATAACAAATCATGTTAGCATGATAAGATAAGGTCAATGAAGATTATTTGTGGTAATTTCTTTGGCATATGGTCACATTGGCATCGGTTCCGCGATTCCGGATTTTCATTTCATAGATTCCGCAATACGATACGGTAAGGGGGGATCTTATAATCCGGTTCTTTAGGCCAAAGTCATATTTGAGGCAAATGCATCATACTGCATATTAAATCATTGGATATTGGCATGAATGATTATTTCAGATAATTTCACTGTCATATTGACACATTGGCCTCTGTTTCAATGCTTACAGTATCTGGTTCCGTAAATTCTGGATTATGACTAGAAATGATATATTTGAAACTACTATATCGCACGGTATGTTAAATCATGCATGTTCAACCGAGGTGAATGTTATAAGGGATGATGAATATATTAGTCACGCTTCAAGGGGGGAGGGGGAGGGGGTTATGATTTTGTGACAAGCAATGCATTATAATGGTATAGGTATACGAAAACATGACGAAAGGGGGGGAGGGGGTTAGTTTTCTCTCAATTCAGCGTGACATAATAAATGGATCGTCCCTAATGCAAATAATCTGAGGACAGTAGCCACCATCCAGGATCTGATCTTGGTGCTCCGGAAGTCATTTATATTCAAAAGAGTATGACCATCTGCGATCTGTTTCAGGTTCTCCGGAAATAATTCCAGTGCAATAAACGAGGCTAAAATATTTTATAATTTAAATTACCATAGCAATCCCATGTGAATATTACAATGCAAATCATTCAGGAAATTGTGAACACATTCCTTCATACGGGATCTGATCCAGGTTCTCGAGAAGTAATTTTGAACTAATTGTCTTGGCTGAAATATTCCAAGGAGTGCAACATAACAAGGCCAAGTTAATTTGAACCAACAGGTCTGTGCCATAACAAGGAAGGAAGAAAAAAAAGCCCAAGTGAATATTACAATTCCAACGTTTCAGCTGGTTACTGGGATCAGTAAGCAACTGTCCAGTCGCGTCTTTCATGGGCATCTTTGGATTTATCCTTGCTCCAATCAGACGTCGTGATATATCGCAGCAGAGGTGGATATCGTCGGTTGTTGCGGCATTCTCTCCTTCGTCGGTCAGCGAATCCACCCACACTCGCTTGTCCCGTCGGCAATTGCAGTTTACTTCCTTCTCTAGTGCCGACTACCGTTGACAGGCTTCGTTCTTGGCTCCTCTGGTTCTCACCCGCTCTATCGCAGTTTTTGCTTCTTTTGGGAATAAAACCGGATTTCACGGATTTCCCGGAACCGATGCCAATGTGTTCATATGTCATCAGATACACTACAACCTGAATTCAGTGATCATAGCTTGTCATTTTGGCATAATATGATATCATAACCTCAATGAAATTATATTCCAACAAACCATTCACCGGAATTCACAGATCCGCGTTCCGGAACCCATGCCAAACTGGCCAAAATCATCCCAAATCATCTTCATTCACTTGATTCTACCTATTTGACAAGACATGCCACAAGATACTTTTGCCTGAGATATTACTATGTCCTACAGAATCGATTTCCGGGACCTCGAGTACCGATAATATCGTAGCCATACGTTATGTCAATATCTAAATCCAGTTTTACTAATCATATTTCATCTATCTGATATCATTTGCTGCACCAGACAACCGATTCGCGTGAAAATTCGTTCGTCCTGGTACTTTACGGGTTAATAGCGGCCAGGGCACACTTCGATTGCATTTCTGAAACACAACCTCAACGCACAAACACGACGACGATAACATTCGACAAGCGTCTTTCGTTCGGGAGGCGGAACGCTAGTACGCAACAATCAAGTGAAAAAAAAAATCACACACTGCTAAACTGCTAACGTTGAAAACCAAACGCGATTTCTACATGTACAAATATTGTTTCCTGTGCAAAAGTTACAAGTTACAAAAAAAGCGTTCTGGAAAAAAGATGAAAATTTTTACCAAAAATAATTTTTCTTTTTACGAATTCTGTTCATTTTCAATGGTTTGAGATATTTCAAAATATTGCATTTTTTATAAAAAATAGAAAAATAACAAAAATTGAAGATAAAGGTGAAATCAGCTTAATTTTCAATAACGACCAAAAATATCTATTAGTACCGTCCAGTGTTCATCTAGATAAAATTGATAAATAGCAGATTATTTGGGCCATAGGCCAATATTAGAGCCATTTCCCCTATATTGCACTTTCATGAATGAATTCAACAGAATATCAGTCTCAAGGTTCTGGCTACTGTCAAGTCAGTAGTAAATCAATACCTCATCATGAAGTATTGTTTGCATGTATATTACCACACTCCCCTTCCAACCTTTTCGTACGTACAATCCAACTGATTGCGATAAGCATATAACATTGTAATTCCCAAAGCATTACTGTGGCTTCTTATTTCTGGAAAACAGCCAATTACCAACTATCGCCGTCTTCTTTCCCCCTGTGGAGGCAAAACCACCGAACGAACATGTAGGTTCAACTAAAGCCCTCTAGTAAAAGTTTGGACGCCTACCAAAAACTGTTCTAAACGATCTGTCATAATGCACTGTTCTTCGTTCAATTGAAACCAGGGTTGCTTCCACTCACTTGCTATAAAAAAAATGATTTTCTGAATTTTGAAATTATTAGATGTTGTAATGATATTTTGTGCTTGTTAGATGCAAGAAGAGGATGAAAGGCAAGTGTTTGACTCATAAAACCTGTCAATTTTGCTACCAGAGTGTTACAATAAGCGATTTTATGATTCGTGAGTGCTCACTCAGAGTGAGCGCTCGCGAGTCGTAAAATCGCTGATTGTGACTATCTGAAAGCGAATTTAACAGGTTTCATGTGTCAAACACTTGCATTTCAACCTCTTTTTGTATCTAACAAGTACAAAATATGATCATATATATCATCTAATGATTTCAAAATTCAGAAAATCATGTTTTTATAGCAAGTGAGTGGAAGCAAGCCTGATTGAAACAGTTTCAGTTTTCATGTAACCGTCGTCCATACTTTTACTGGAGGGCTTTAGGTACTCTCCATCGAGATGATAACTAACCTCTCCTCTTAACCATGCTCATTGACTGTGTGAGTGAGTCTCACCTCCTCTCATCAATCTCCACTCGGTTTGTGCATAGTAAGTATGCAAATTGAAAAGCAGAATACCGAAATTGATGAACGAACATCATAAAAAACGAAGGAAAACATTCACCCCAGCTCACGCCAAGGAGGTGCAATCAACCTTGCTCTCTTCAACATTGGTTTCTTGATAAAAGCCTTATAAAAAAAAAATCACCGAGATGAATGTGCACCATCAATATCATCATTAGTCTTCTGAGTCTTCTTCAGACAGAGAACCACTCGCCGCTCTCTTTGGGCAGGTATAGGAGAATAGTGACGAAAACGGAACCAAACCAACAAAGTCTCGATCTTTAGGAAAAGACGACGACGACAGATGGGAAAGTCAACTTCCCTCCTCCGCATCATTCAAGGGCTGAAAAGTGTATTCTTTCTCAGTTTTCTTTTTTCGTTGCATTTGTAGAAACGAAGATTGAGCTATGGGAAAGGAATAATTGAATAGATTGTTAAGAGTTGTTACAGGCAAGGATGCGATGGAAAATATCAAGTATCCAATTATATTTGCAATGTGGGAGGGGTGTGGGGGGATCCTTCTGCCGATTACAACTTCTGCGCAGAGATGGTAAGAAGCAGATACAAGCTGACTGACGGATGTGAGAAGCGCTTTCGGATTGTGATGTGAGGTTGCCACTTTGGTCCTTGTTAGCAAAAGATGTATGCTCTTCGAGTTTGGATTCCGTCGTGTGGGTCTTGGGAAGTGGGTGATGTTAAGAAATGTTTTGATTTGTGAGCTACGAAGAACTTAATAAAGGTCGGGATGTCTGGCTCGATGCTGCATTGTATCCGTTGAACTCAAGGATGCAGACAGTTGGGGCATATGAATGATAACCTTGGGATAGCATACCTTGACATAATCACCAAAATGTTTTAAGGGCACTATTGAAAGAAGCTTCTAATGGCACTGTGGATCTCTACATTTCTTAAATTCCGTGATGTGTGCTTAACATTTCAACCACACATTTTGATTTTTCGTTTTGTCTTTCCTTATTGTTTATCTTTTATATTGCACAAGGAGTTTCACGGAAGAACAAGAAGATCGAATTTAACTAAGGTGGAATTTTCGCTACATTCCACTTAAAAAAATCCTTACTCTGTTACATTTTCAATGCTTTAACCACATTCAATCTAAACACAATTTATCTTCTTTGATTTCAGCGGAATTTCTCACCTCCGTTCGCCGCACGGCAGAAGCCTGCCAGTATCGAGTGAAGGCAGCCGAGTTGGCCCCGGATGATTACTCCCTGGTGACGGCCGCCGCCTCAGCACTCCGTTTGCTCGACCGGAAGGTCGAAGCGGAACGGTGGTACCGACAGGTGCGTACACAAATCATCACCAACTGCCCCTTCACTCCCCTTCAAAGAAACTGCCAAACTAATGAACCTTTTTCGTCCACCGTTCCATTCTAGGCCGTCAACCTACGCCCGGAGGAGGCACGTGCCCACACGAACCTCGGTGCCATTCTTCATCTGCTGGGTCGGCCCCAGGAGGCCGCAATCAGCTACAAAGAAGCCCTCCGACTGCAACCTAACGATCTGACGACGCTGACCAATCTGGCCAAACTGGGAATTACGGAAATTTCCTGAAGTACGCCCCCTCGTCCGGCGCCCGAACCACCGGTGGGGCCATCGGTGGCCGACGAGGACGATTTGAGCTAGCTCTGTAGAAAGGTGTTCTAGAGGGGTTGAGTGTGTAAAAAGCAGTTTGCGATTTGTTGAAATCTTGTAAAGATTGGTTATTTATGTTTTACCGTTCCGGTGGATGTACGAGAATGGATTAGGACTAGGCAAATGAGAAACAATAATCAGCTGTAAATATCCTTAGATGTAAGACAACAACTCTGTAAGATAAATCAGATGAAACATGAAAGGATCATAGCTAGTACAAGTTTGAACTATCAAAAGACAGATTTTGTACCAGAACAAAGAAGAAGATGAATCTAAGTTACGAAACAAGTAAACAAGTATCGTTAATTACCCTGCAAAACAGGGGCTAATCAAAATCAGACTTATACACATAAGAAAAAGAAAATAACATCAACAAGAGGTGACAAATTAGCTAGCCTAAGCAACTGTACCATAAAGATGCTAAAATGAAGAGTATATACCTAGCAAAAGGAATAGGACAAATAATAGGAAGCCAAAAGCTTTGTTAAGTTTATACCAATCGATGGTTTTTGTGTTTGCATAAAATAAATGATAACGATGTAAACAAATTCATTTGAGTGCCCATCATGGATGAAAGAAGCTATATTTGCCTACGTTCAACACTCCTGACACACTGTAAATAGAAAATCCAAGTAAATATCATTAAAGTTGATTAAAGTGTAGCCATGACGCCAGTGGGGTCATCATCGAATGGTAAATGCAACAAAACATGCAGAAAAATAAACTTGCGTGGGTGGTTTGCGTTTGTGGAGACTGAGCGTACACGAGAAGCTAAACAAAAGAGCCAACTGTTTTGATTGCAGGCAGGCTGCATCAGTGTACAATGGCACTGATGATTATGCATGAGCACTCCGAGAGTATAATGGGTGGTAAATGAAGAAGAAATTATATTTAAATTACTTCGATTATAGAGTGATAAAACAAAAACCATGGAGCGAGTGAGGGTGGTGTGAATGGAAGTTTGTAAGCATTCAGTTTATAACCAAAATCGCAAGCATTCACGTGCAGTACCCCATCCCAAGCAAACAAACCAATTAATCACAGCAAATAGCGTCAAAATGTGAACGAACAAGGTAATGTTGCAAAACGAACGATTAAAAAAAGGAAAACAGAAAATCAACGATCGAAATGTATATTGTGAATATTAAAAACACACACACACACAAACACACCTAGAAGAGGGAGACCAAGTGCGGGTGGAGAGACCACACGCTCGCTGAATCCCTGTTCGCAATTCATGAGGCTATACAATTTCGGAATAAAAGCAAATTTGTTAATAAAAATGAATGAAAACACTTGTTTCAATCACTATGAAAAACTCGAAATCAATGCCCCAGAGGGGTAAATGGGGAAGGCTGAGAGGAAGTGCACCATGGAGATGCTTTCAGGAAGTATAAAAAATCAGTATTGCATATGATGCTTCCACAATTTCGAAACAGAGTTTTTTGTTGGCAGAGTGAGTTGAAGCAGCCCTGCTTTCAACTACCGTTAAATCCAGTGGCGTCGAGTGGGACAGTAACAGCTGGTGCGGATATGATGGATGTCTCCACAGACAACCAGACTGGTCGTGTTTTTTTGATTTACAATTTATATATTTATACAATTTACAAACATATATACTAGGATGGGTTATAATGACCATTTTTTCAGCACAATGTTTTTGGGTTCCATTTGGGGTCCCAAACAACTATGCAAACATGGGGACGATTGGTTGTAACCCGGCTTTCCGAATTGCGTTTGAAATTTGTATGGAAATTAGTATGGGAAAACCTACTTTTTTGCATCTTTATTACTAGGGACCACGCATCTAAATTCCTAAGTATAGTGCAGGAAGTGCCTAACAGCTTTGCCGAGGGATTTATTGTTCTAGAATGCCCATAATAAAAGATATAGCTGTTCAAAGATCACTGTTTCGAATTAAATGCCAAAAATCCCTTTTTCTGCTAACACTGCCGATGTACCAATGAAAGTCAAACTCCAAACTGAAAAAATTTCTAAGTTGATTATTTTATCGGTGTGGAATGTTCAGATGAAGTATTCAAAAAAAAATAGATCTATCTCATATGCGTAGTCAGAGGGGAGGGGGGGGGGGGTCACTCATATCAATAGAAATAAAGTTTCAAACTGAAATAACTTCGGAGTTTCTGATCTTTTCAAGTTGGTATGCTCAGATGTATTCAAAAGCATGTGCTACATTTAATAGGCGTAGTTAGATATGGGAGGGGAGCTTACTGTATCCTTTCAGCCCCTCACTTATATCAATGAAAGTAAACATAAGGACTAAAATAACTTCGGAGTTTCCCATCTCTCGATTTGTTTTGAAAGCGAGTACCCCCATTCCCTTCCCTACTCTTTTGGTGCAGTATACAATGTCAGATATATTCAATCAAATGTCATTGGATTGTAATGATTATATTTCATTTTATTAAATTCAACGATTTCTCAAGGTACTCTTTTCGATGCTGTTCCATCCCCTGAAGCAAATATTGCTGTTGAACTAGGTCTCGGGTGAATTTCTTGATAAGTCAGAAATTAATTTCACACCTCATTCAGCCATATCGTTGACAACCATCAAGGAAGCAACTCGTTGTATCGCATTGAAATAATCTGTAAAATTACTCCACCCGTTTGCCGGTTTTTGCATGAAGCCGGTCGAAATTTCGAAAAAGAATCAGCACTGCTAGAAATGACGTTTGACTTGGGAGCTGAAACATAGCCCACTTAAAGTTAGCCCAACAAGTGAAATCCGACTGTACCTGTGTCTGAGACGAAACTGGTGAAGACAGTTTCCGTTTTCTACTATTTTTTTTTGTTTTTGACGTACGACTACTTCTGTGTTTTCTATTTATGTGCGCTTTATATAGAAATAATATAGCAGCTGGACTAATAATTCAAACAACATCTCCTCACTAACAAATGAACGGACAAGTGGATATTAAATATTTACACCACTACAATTTTCGTTTTTAAACTACGCTTATGAGACTGAGCAAATATGTTTGAAGAATTCATCCTGAACATACCAAATCGAAAAGGTAAGAAACTCCGAAGTTATTTCAATTTGAGACTTTACTTCTATTGAAATGAGTGAATGGGCGGGGTATATTATTACCCCCCCCCCCCCTCAAACTACACATATGAGATAGAGCAATTGTTTTTGAAAATATTTCAGTTTGGAATCTGATAAACCGGCAGTGTTGGCAGAAAAAGGGATTTTTGGTGTTTAATTCAAATCATAAATATTTGAATAGTTATAACTTTTTTTAGATACATTATAGCTTCAAACTTTCGTTGGCAAAGTTGTTAGGCACTATATTACTTAGTTGCACGAAGTTACATACTTAGTTGCACGGGTCATTCAAAATTGTGGTCTCTAGAGATAAAAATGCAAAAAAGTTGATTTTCCCATACTAATTTCCATACAAATTTCAAACGCAATGCGGAATGCCAAGCTACGACCAATCGTCCCTAAATTTTGCACAGTTGTTTGGGACCCTAAATGAAATCAAAAAAGGTTGTTCTCGATCGGCGAGGTAAAATTTGCGTTTTTCCATATAACGATGATCCACTCTAATATATACAAACAAACAAATCAAATTGAATGCAAAATATAGCTTTTACGTTCAAAAGTGGAGACCATATGCGTGCAACTTTTATTTTCTTTTTATAATAATTGATTTAACACCATTTACGATTTAATCTGTAATAACAAATTCAATTTGAAAAGCCTTACGATGTAATCTGATTTAATTTGAAAATATTAATCGCATCATATGTATGTCATTCATAAAGCTTGACCCATTTTGTAATTGAACATCATCATTAGGGTCTGTTTCGTGGGTTGTATTAAACGAATTTGAAAACAGTTTTAACTAAAGTGCATACTATTCCATATATTTTAAGAAATTAATACGAAACGAATTACTCGCCGTGGTTTCGAAGGAATTCTCAAACTTTTCCTTTAATTCGACCCATCAAGCGCAGCCCTACGGTCTCGTCCACTGTTATAGCGATTTTTCCCACCATTTTTTCATCTGAGCGGCCGATTTTATCGCTGTACCTTTTGCCTTCAGTTTCCTCTTCATAATTGCCCAGTAGTTTTCAATGAGCCTGATCTAGGGACAATTAGGTGGATTGAGGGTATTCGAAAAAAAAAAACTGGACTCCGTTGTAGTGGCAACTCGCAAGATCCGTCAAAATGTCACCGGACCATCATGTGACAGGATGAAGGGCAGAATGCGCTTTTGGAGATATTCGGTTTTGTAAACCTCCGAGTTCATCATTTTCTCAGTGACGAAAACCTTTGTCTTTTGGCTGCAGCTGCAAATTCCCAGCCAGATCATATATTTGCGTGCGAGTTTATCCGCAAAAACAAATCTGAATCTGCCAGGGACACCTAGTCAAGCCTTCGCCTTGAACAATGTTGGTCCTGGTAACTGCCCGAAGTCGGCCTTTACATAGGTTTCATCATCCATAAGTATGCACCGGACTTGGTCAGCAAGTTGACATACAGCTTTCAAGCATGGGTTCTAGCTACGGTATCCTGCTCGAGTGATCAATTTGGTTGCCTAATGGTGCGCTATGCCTGTAAGCCTTCGCTGCACTGTACTTTTACTTTTTACTCAAATCGAATTGGGACATACCAAAGTTGCTTCTAATGAACCTCACAACCTTTTCATGGAGCTGACGGTTGGCAGTTCCACTCTGGCTTTTACTTGGAGACTTCCAATTCATCATCAAGGTTTCCTGGTATGTTTTGAGCACGCGCAATACGGTGTTTCTTGCACGCGGCCCACGAAGAATTTACAGGTGACTGTGTACGATTTTTTCTACGCTCCTCTTTCATGGTAACTGTCTCCAAAAAAGAGCAATTTATGGACTAAAAAACTACAAGGGACAGCCCTATGGGGTTGTACGCAGTGGTGACGTAGGACTACGAGATCTTATTTAATAAATCTTGTGTGTTAACTGCAGTAGGAGCTTGTGTTTTGTGTAGGAATAGGAATTCGAGCGGAGTTTTCTCTGTTTATACTCTTTAATATGACGTGCTTGACATAGATGGCCCACAGCGACTCACGAAGAGCTACTGATTCCGATAAATAGCGGTGCGACTTCTTCCTCCTTCTATGGATGTGCCATGTGGACTGCAGCTCGCTGCTTGCAGGTAGTCTTCCGTTGTGTACTGGAGAACAATGTTCAAATCCACGCGCCGAAAGCACTGCAGCTGCTGCTGATGCCGACGACCAGACACCACAACACACGGTGATTGGAACTGAATT